ACAAAGATTAGGGTTGACAATAGAAGGATAACCAGCTGGTGGATTATTGAATTAGCTAATCAGTCTTCCTTTCAATATTAGATGGTCTCTTAGAATCTCATTTAAAAAGTGTCAAATTTTAAAAAAATTTATTCATCAAAAGTTTCCTCATTGGAGGAGGATGATGACAAGAACGAGAAGGAGGAGAAGAAGTAGCCCTGAATAACAGAGAGAGCACAAGACTTGAAATTCAAAAGCCTACCATAGGTCTGAATATCCTTTAATCTCTCTGAGACCTCATTTCCTCATCTATAAAATTTAACAAACAGAAAATGCAATCATTATCACTGTATTTCCTATCTCTTGAGATTCTCATGAGAAAAGTGCTTACATATACATAAATGTGAGCTGTTACATTTTATAAAATTAATAAGAATAATAATCATAGCTAGTACTTATATAGAAGTTTGAAGTTTGCAAGTCATTTGCAAATATCATCTCATTTAATCCTCACAACAACCTGATAAGTTAAGTGCTATTGTTATCCCCATGTTACAGATGAGGAAACCAAAGCTAGATGACGTGCCCCAAACCACACAGCTAGTAAGTGTCTGAGGCTGGATTTGAACTCAGGACTTCTTGACTTCAAGTCCGAAGCTCTATCCATTGCAGTACCTTACTCAAATATTCATTAATCAAAGTCACATTTCAATGTTCGAATGTATACTTTCATAATTTTTTTTTGCAGAATAGTTAGTGTTTACTAACTAAAATAGATAAGTGATTATGTGAACTTTTCTTGAAAAATATTCCAAAAGAAGAAACAATAAACAAAGTATAAATAGATCTCCAAAATATTTGGGGTTTTTTGTTTGTTTGTTTGTTTTGGGGGGGGGATGTTGAGGTAGTTTTTTTTTTTTAAAGTTCACATCAACTTGGGTCTCATAAAGCAAAAATAACATTGAAACAATTGTGGTTTTCACTGCTTCCTGAGTGTAGAAATAGCCCACATGCAATGAGTTGCTGTTTTATTAATCCAACATAAGTAATCAGGCAGCTTGCAATTACAGCAATAATTTTTTGTACTTATATGTTTCCCCCAAACATAAGCTTCTTAAGGGCAGGGAATTCTTCTTTGTATTCCCAGAGCCTAGAACAATGTTTGTTGATAGATTGTTGATAGATTAAACAGATATAGGTATCACTATATTATATATCCCAGTATGGAAGTCAGCATATTATAGTAGAAAGAATACTGGACTTGAAGTCAAGAGAGAGTAGAATCAAATCTTGCCTCTGATACTTACTAGCTTTGTGACAAGACACTTAGCCTCTGTAAAATGGATATACTGTAACATTAACTGTAGAATTGTACTGGGCTGTTATGAAGAGCAAATGAAATAATGTATTTTGTAAAACAGAAGTGCCATAACCACATACTCACACACACACACACACACACACACACGCACACACTCACACACATACATCTCAATCAATCAATAAACATTTATTAAGTGCCTACTATGTGCCAGGCACCATCTTAAGCACTAGGGCACAAAAGCCTTTTGTCTTAAGCACAAAAAGGGCAAAAGAGAGTCCCTGCCTTCAAGGAGCTCACAATCTAATCAGGGAGACAATGAGCAAATAATTGTATGCAAAACAAGCTATATATAGGATAAATAAGAAATAATTAACAGAGGGAAGACACTAGAACTGTTTAGGTTTAGGAAAGTTTTCCAGTAAAAGATGGGATTTTAGTTGGGACTTAAAGGATTCCAGTGAAGCCAGGAGGCTGAGTTGTTAAATGTATAATAAATGTGTATATCAATACATATATGTACAGATATATAATAAATTTACATATTATACATATTTGCATCTAATGGTAGCCACCTTTAGGGCATGAGGAGGGGAGGGGAGGAAAAAATGGAAAAGAAATTTACATAATAATTTTATTATATCTTTAAAAGGGATAGGAAGTTGTACATAATTTGCAGTTTTATAAGCAATCATATTTTTTAATTATACTATGTTATGGAAATGCTTGTTTTATTACATAAATTAAAAATAAAATAAATTTTAAAATGTTTAAATAAAATTTGAAGATATAGATCCACTTTGTCCCTTTAGAGTTTACAAACCACTTTTCTCTGGGTTGGATGAAGTATGTATTTTCTGCATCATTATTCCCATTTTACAAAGAAATAGCTAAGTGAGAAGTTAAATGACTTAGCCATGGCCACAAATACTTTTAGGAAATGTCACAGGGGTGGGGTGGCCTCAAGGCCACATGTGGCCTTCTAGGTCCTCAAGTGCAGCCCTTTGACTGAATCTAAAGGATTTGTTCTGTGAAGTTTGGATTCAGTCAAAGGGCCACACTTGAGGTCCCAGAGGGCCACATGTGGCCTTGAGGCCACAGGGGCCCCACACCTGGACTCAAAACCATTATTCTGACTCAATTTTCCAACAATCCTCCCATTTCAACAACCTGTATCATTAGTACTGAGAGGAGTGTTAGCTATCAAATTCAACTCCCTCCTTGGCTGAGAGAAATGATTAGTTCAAGTTAACAAAGCTAGTTAGTGACAAAGCCAGGTCTCAGCCATCAGGTCTCTTTGTTTTTTTCTTGCTCTTTGTTTTTTTTTCTTACTATGCCACACTAATAACCATTAATCATTGAGGAAAAGTTAATTTAGCTTTAGTATATTCTGTTCAAATAAGGAAATACGTAACATAACTTAGGAAGAAGTTAATTGAAAAAGTTTTTTTTTTTAGTGTAAAGTTTTGTGGTATGAAAAATTAAATTAACCTCAGCTAACCGGTAAATTCAGCTATACTCAGACGTTTCCATTACCCAGGAGATCCAGACTCGTTTCTGCAGAGCCCTGGACAATACTTATTGCTGCTGGTCTCCACTCTGATGCAACAGATCTTGCCATCCAGAAGGGGCTGCAGCAAGGTAGGAAATAATGACTCAAGCATGTTATAGATTGCTAAGCAATGGGACTTGGTGAGCACTCCTGTGCTCCACAAAGAATTTCTGAATCTGGAGAGCTGCTCTGGATGTTGCTAATATAATCCTAATGATTCACATTTCTATAGTACTTTAATGTTCCCAAAGTACTTTGTTCTGCCCTAATCCCCCTCACCCCAACAATCCTTTTTGGGGATAGATAAGTATTTTTATACCCATTTTTCAGATGATAAAACTGAGGCTCAGGGGTGAAACGGATGGCACAGTTAATATCAGAGCATAACAAATGCTTGTTACATGAATTAATGTGACGTATAAAAGAATCACAAAATCTTAAAGGTTCATTTTATATAAAATTTTAAGTTTACAAAGTTCACAACTACCCTTCAAACCAAGTAATTCATAGAATCATAGGTTTAGAGCCAGAAAGGGACCTCAGAAACTATCTAGTGACTAGATTCTAGTCCAACACCCTGATTTTACAGTTGTGGAAACTGAGGCACAGAGAGATTAAGCGACTTGTCCGTGGTCATACAGGTAGTAAGCATCAGAGGTGAGATTTTAACCCTCCTCTGACTCCAGATTCAGGGCTCTTCAAGTGTTATTTCCCCTATTTTACAGATGATGAAACTGAGTGCAAGTGAAAGCATAGAATATATCAGTACCCTCATGTCTTCCTGCTTGTGCACCTAGAAGCCAAAACCAAGGCAATCAATAGGGTATCCATGGGATTGGGTTACACTGGGGCCATCGTGAGAGTCTGACACATGAATTCAAAGAGCTAAATACATAACCTTACTTAAGCATCCATAGTTAATTAACTCAGCAAATATAGCTCTCTTTACAAAGATGCTATTGCTGCTGCTCCTGTCTACAGACTGATTAGTGTGGGCTATATATCACAATACCCCTGACTCTAAAAACATTCAATGACTGAGATTTCCAAAATGCGATGATGGGAACTTATTTTTTGTTCCTCTCTCTACCCTTTGAAGTTATGAGTCTTCTTTAAAGTTGTTACAAGGAACACTGAGATAGAATCCTCTTAAGGTGCTTTCTTGGCCAAAACATTCTAGCAGGGGAAAAGATTTCATTCAACCTTTGGAATTCTGAGCTCCCCTTTTTGCATGTGACTCTCACGAATCCTGGCAACTTCAGAGACGGACCTTTTTACCGTGGCCCCTGACACAGGAACAAAATATGTAGCAAGACCTGAGGCGGGAGGTGGAGGGGAGGGAGAAGTGAATAGTGTCAACCTGAATTTGTAGTTTCCTGTCTCTTTGCTGAGAGAGGCTGGACTCATGTTTCTCACGTGGTTTAAAGAGAGCTGTAAATACTAAACATCTCAGTGGAGAGATGTGCGGGAGACCTTCAGAGGGCAGCAGCAGTTTTATGACCCGACCCCACACACCCCCCCCTTTTTTTTTCTTTTTTGGCTCATACAATCACTGGTACTGGGCATATTCAACTTCCTAGATTCCACACTCTCTGTGACATGGTTCCTCTTTCAAAAATGCAGATCAAGAAAACAAGGGGAAGCAGCCTAGCCAAACCCAAAGAGCGAAGTGGAAAATAAAATGTTATTTCATCATCTCCCATTCCTCCCCTGCTTCATTCCTGTTGTTGGTATTTGGGAGTGAGAGAATATGTGAGATGCACTTTAAGACAACTTTTATTTCTCAAATCACACACACACACACACACACACACACACACACAAAGTACCATCCCTCTTTTACAAATTCCTATATCATCTTTCCAGAGTTTGATAATTCAGTTAAAGAGATTAAACCGCCTCTCGCAGCTGGGATACGGAAAAAGCCAAGAGTGGCCAAGGAAGGGGGAGGGAGGACAGAGATAAGAGGCTGGCAGGGAGCACCTAGAAGATCTTTGCATTTACACAAAGAAATTAGCCAGATGATTAATGGGGGATGCTAGCGGGAGGAAGGGGAGGGGTGAGGAACACGGGAGAGGAAAGGAGATATGGCCCAGGGAGGTGAGAAGGGGGGAGAGAAAAGGGACGCTCTGCTCCCCCTCTCCTTACCTGGGACATCTGGGGCCTCAGGTTGATCTCCTTGAGATTGATAGAGTGACCCTTCAGGTTATTGAGCAGCTGACAGAGCAGGACTCCATCGCGGAGGGTCTGAGCCAGGTCAAACACCTGGGCAGAGTCCCAGGTCACCCGGTGGTTGGCGGGCAGCACCTTGCAATGGATGAGCCACTGAGCGCATTGTCTCCAAGGCTCCATGCCCGACAGAGCTCAGGATCGGAGCCGGTCTGGGAGAGAGAGACAGATGCTGGAGCTGCCGAGGCTTCCTCCTCCTCGTCCTCCCGGGACACAGACAGCGGGCTACGGACACCCCCTTTCTTCCCCTAACCCTATCCAAGGGAGAGAGGTGTGTGCCGCAGTGGAGGAGGGCTCGGGGATCCCCTGCCCGGAACGGGGCGGTCAAGCAGGGCTCGGCTGCCACGGCGGCGCACCCGGCAAAGCTCTGAGCGCAGCCGAGCTCGGGACGCCTCTGCTCCGACTCTCTGTGGCGGCGGCGGCAGCAGCCGCAGCAGCTGCAGTGACTCTCGCTCGCTCACTCGCTCGCTCGCTCTCTTCCGTCTGCTACTTGCCCCGTGTCAGCAGCCTCAGCTGCAGCCCCGGTAGAGTGCAAAGGAGCTTCCTACTCGCAATCAAAACCTCGCCGGCTACTGAGCATGCCCAGCTAGCTCCCCAGCCCGAGCCAGTTTCGTTACAGTCTGTGGATTCCCTGGAGGGGAGGGTGGAAGGGAGCTGAGGAAGCCGGCAGGACGTCAGTTTGGGGAAGAAAGTGGGGCGGCCCGGTGGGGAAAGTGTCACCCGCGATGAGCCCTGGCCCACCAGCCCTCCCTTTCTACCTGTCAATGTCTGAGCATCCGGACATGCTTTTCAGCTACAGCCATGGACAGGCATTCTGGGCCCATGGTGGTTTGCCTCTTAGGGCAGATCATCAGATCAAGTAAAGACAAGAGTTTCCACTAGGTTACCACCACCATCACCACCCCAGGGTATTCAGTAGGGCAGCTTTATCAGTGAGCTCAGGCAGAGAGGAAACAGGGCTGAGATGTCACATTGGGCAAAATAGGGGGCCACACCCCCTCCCCAGGGAAATTCGGGTGCTCTGGATTACAGGGATCTTGACAACAGGTTATTAGTGGTTTCAAAGACAGCAGCACTCTCACTTTGCCTGGTCCTCCCTCTGTGTCCTTGGAGACTCTTCCCACAATTATACTGCACATACTGCCCCCTCTTCCCTGTTGACCTCTGAGCTGTTAGAACGCAAACTTTTCGGCATGCCCTCCCTCTTCATCTCTGTCTCCTGGCTTCCTTGACTTCCTTCAGGTCTCCGCTAAAATTCCACCTTCTTCAATAAGCCATTTTCTATCCCTTTTAATGTTAATGAGATCATCTCCAATTTGTTCTGTCTACATTTTGTTTGCATATTGTTTCTCCCATTAGACTGTAAGATCCTTGAGAAAAGGGCTGTGTTGTTTTGTTTTGTTCTTAATGCCCTTTTTGTATCCCCAGCACTTTGCACAATGCCTAGCACATAGTAGGCACTTAATAAATGCTTGTTGACTTAGCTGTACTTCTATAAACTCAAGGTGTTCCAGTGGGGTGTTTCCTACAGAAAAGAGCCAATTTTGCTGCAAAACCTGGTTCATCACAAAGACTTTCCTGCACTGCTGTCCTCCCACTTCTAGTCTGGCCTCTTTGGCTCTGAAATGCCCTTACTCTTTTCATCTCTTGTGATGATTCCATTAAAACTTATTAAAGGGAAATTTCCTTGAATGGCAGTGTGGGCTGTCTTTGGAGCCAGGAAGATCTAGGTTCAAGTGCTGCTTCTAACATATACTTATCTGTGTGACCTTAGGCTAGACCTCTTAGTGAGCCCATCCAATTCCCTAAGGCTATAAACTATTGCATTTAGTTTTTGTGAATGGAGTTTCCTATTCCTATGACAATTCAGGTTTGGATCAAAAAAGGCAGACCACAAACCTCTGACATATAGAGGATCCTATAGGTTTTCCCTGTCGATCTGAGCGTGTTCAAATAAGCTAGGGCAGAGTTTAGATACAAACAGGAAAGTTTTCTAGCATACCACACCCAGCAGCAGCCCTTCCATGCTTCCACAGCTAAGTAGAAGCTATAGTTACTGGTCCCAGAACAGATGCCAGTGATTTTAAGTGGAGCCTTTATACATTCTGTAAATAAGACTTCTGGTGAGGTGTCTTACTAGCTGTCTTGCATTCATTTCCACTGCACATTTCTTTTTCTTCCCACCCCCAACCAAAGTTTTATATTATGTTTAGCAAGATACTGCCATGCATAACTCTCTGTGTCCTGTATAAGTGTGGTTCCCAGCCACCCCCTTTTTCTTTATTGTTTTATATTGTAATATTTCATGGTGGGCTATGTCTTTGTTCTCTAGCATGTGCCAACTTTAGTATTCTATGTATACTTGTTTAAAAATAAATCAGTCAGAGGATTTCCTTTCCTCGCCAAGCATCCTTCCTCAGTGATTTCCTTTTTCCTTCAATACAGATGGTATCAATGGTCTAAGTCTTAGACTCTAAGAGAATCATTGTGCATAGTGGCAATAGTGTGAAGAACATTGGACTGGGAGTCCAGAAGACCTGGGTTCAAATCTCCCTCCTGACAATTACTTATTATGCCACCACCGGCAAATCTAGTAAATCCTCAGCTCTTATCTATATCGAAGTGGTATTATGACACTCAAATAAGATAATCAATGTAAAATGTCTTAGGAACTTTAAAATACCAGTTGTTAACATCTTGAGGTTTTTATTATGAATATAATCATCAATAAACTTGAACATTTCAATTGGTCAGTTAACAAGAATTTATTAAGTGCTTACTAGGTACCAGGTACCATGCTAACAAACAAAAGCAAAAACAATCCCTGCTCTTAAGGAGTTCACATTCTAATGTCAGAGACAATATGTGGAAAAGAAAAGTTGTAAATACAAGATATATACAGTGTTGGGAAATGATTTTTCAGTATGCAAATAAGAATGCAAAAGAGGATTTTAAGGGTATATTAATTTCTTTTTTTGCAAGTAATTTGTTTTTAGTTTTCAACATTCACTTCCATAAGATTTTGAGTTTTAAATTTTCTCTCCTCTCTCTCTTCCCCCTCCCCAAGATGGCATGCAATCTGCTATAGGCTCTACTTATACATTCATATTAAGTATATTTTCCCATTAGTCATGATGTAAAGAAGGGCTAGACCTAATGAGAAGAACCAGGAGAAAGAAGAAACAAAACAAAACAATGAAAAGGAGATCAAATAGTATACTTCCATCTGCATTCAGACTCTATAGTACTTTCTCTGGACGTGGATAGCATTTTCTATCCTGAGTCTTTTGGAGTTGTCTTAGATCCTTGCATTGCTGAGAAGAGCTAAGTCTATCAAAGTCAGTCATCACACAATGTGGCTGTTACTGTGTACAGTGTTCTCCTGGTTCTGCTCACTTCACTCAGCATCAGTTCATATAAGTTTTTCCAGGTTTTTCTGGTCTGCCTGCTCATCATTTCTTATAGCACAATAGTATTCCATTACATTCATATACCACAACTTGTTCAGCCATTCCCCAATTGATGGGCATCCCCTCAATTTCCAATTCTTTGCCACCACAAAAAGAGCTGCTACAAATATTTTTGTACATGTGGATCCTTTTCCTGTTTTTATGATCTCTTTGGGATACGGACCTAGAAGTGGTGTTGCTAGGTCAAAGAGTATGAACAATTTTATAGCCATTTGGGCATAGTTCCAAATTGCTCTCAGTTGGCTCAATTCACAACTCCACCAACAATGCATTAGTGTTCCAATTTTCCCACATCTTCTCCAACATTTATCATTTTCCTGTTTTGTCATGTTAGTCAATCTGATAGGTGTGACGTGGTAAGGGGCATATTAATTTCAACTTGGTAGTCACAAAACTGTCTTTTTCATGTCCATTCTGAATTTTTTTCTGTTTTTGTCTTTGCATACTTTTTACAAACTTTAAAGCACTACGTAAATATCTGTTATGCCATGTATTTGGTAAATAAAGCATAATGTATTTTATATACTGTTTCTGTTAAACAAAGTCACTATTTATAATTCATCATTTCAGACCACATCTTGGCCCAAAGATAACTTTTACTGGACAAGTTTTCTAGAAATAAGTGGTAAAAGTAAGTAATTATTTCATTCTGTTTCAGATAAAACTAGGTTTTAGGTGAGTCTTTAATAATACTGTGTTCAACAAATGGCAGCAGAGTGAAGAAAATTTATAATCACTTTTTTCTTTTTATCAATTGAATTTACCTAGTCCCCTTCCTACAATACATAATACTTCATGAATGCTTAGCCTTTAGAAGATGAGACATGGGAAGGCAGGGGCAGATATTATTCTGTGTAATGCAAAAGGACAGAAGAAAGACCTTCCTCCCTCCATTTAAGAAGGAGAGTTCTTGGAAGCCATACTCACAGGATCATGCATTTTAAGCTAAAAGTGGCTTTATAAGTTATCTAGTTCAATCCACTCATTTTACAAAGGAGGAAACTGAAGTCTAAGAGGTTATGTTACTTGGTTACTTAGCCACAAACACTTGTTGAATCAAAGCTTGCATAGTTAGTAAAAGTGGTGGGATTTGAACCCAGGTTCTTTGACTCCAGGTAGAGTGTTCATTTTATTATACCATGCATCCTTTCACTCAAGATAAGGAAAAACTTCTTAACAATTGAAGCTGTCCAAAGACAGAAATGGAAGGTTCCTTGGGTAGTACAATCACTAGAAGTGAGCAAGTAGACAATTTTTCTTTTGTTGTTGTTGAGTTGTTTCAGTCGTGTCTGATTCTTTGTGACCCCATTGGGGATTTTCTTGGCAAAGAGACTGGAGTGGTTTGTCATTTCCTTTTCCAGCTCATTTGACAAATGAGAAAACTGAGGCAAAGTGTGAAGTGACTTGTTCAGGGTCACACAGCTAGTAAGCGTCTGAAGCCAGATTTGAACTCAGGTCTTCCTGACTCCAGGCCCAGTGCTCTATCCACTGTGCCATCCAGCTGGTCCAGTTATTTGTCTCATCTATCATAAAGGAGTTTCATGCTCCAGGTGAGGATTGGATAAAATGACTTCTAGAGCCCCTTTCAACCCTAGGATTCTTGGACTCTGTCCTAGGCAGTTCAAGAAGTCAAGAAGGTCAAGGAACAAAAGAACAGAAGACTGTGAAGCACAGACTAGAGGTATTGTCCAATTCACTGAGATGTTAAATGACGTTAGACAGTCAGGAGGGAGGCCTCATGTCATGTTTATTCTGGGAAAGGAAATGACAGTGGGCCTCTTTCCCTAGCTTTTAGTTCCACATTCTCTCTTGCCAGAATGATGACCAATCAGGTGGTAGGTG